GGAAAGAGAGGGGGAAGCTGGAAGACGAGCCTCACAAAAACACAGAAGTAGTTAGAAAAACATGAAGCTGAACTCAGCCTTGGCCCAGCTTTCCAGCGTTAGCTGTTGCACTGAATACATTGGACCTCATCCCTCCCTGTTACCGCCAGGGAGCTATGCAGAAAAGCCGTGCGCAGTAGAAGGGCAGGAAGATCAAAAGGCAACTCCAGTAGGTTGCAGTGGCCAGATCTGGTCTGCCAAGTGATTTTTTTTATCTGACCTGCAAAGCCAGGATGTTGGTGGTAATTCAGTGGTAAGAGGAAATGGGTGGTGGCAGCCAGGGTGCAAGCACAGTGGGGAAGTGGCGGAGGATGGGCTGCAAGTGGCATCCTGCCTTTGTGCCCAGTTGTGTTAACTGGACCAACTGCTGCTAAAAGGCTGCTGACCCCTGACCTAGGTAACCACCAAGATACCATGCCTCTAGGAACTGTCACCCTGAACCAGGTGCCAGTAGAGAGTATGACTTCCTGTTGTCCACACACATCTGCAGAAGGCCCCTCATGGCTGAGTAAAACAGATGTGTGATAACTGCTGGGCAAGCAAGAGTTAAATGTGCAAAGCCTGCCTAGTGTGACAAAGCACGGGCAGTGGGTGAACAAAATGGACTTTGGAGGCTGGGGCTGGGGCTGGGGAGGGGATGAAGGAAACCAGCTGGGATCTGGGAGCGTGCAGACCGTGCCAGGGGGAAAGCGAGTCAGGGAGATTGCAAGATAGAGAACTTGAGGTGCATTTAACAAAATAATGGGTTAATCGACAAAACACACAAAAATCACATGCTTTAAACCCATGAAATCCCCCAGCCAAGGCTGGGCTTGTCAGTCATCCTTATAGGGCAAAGCCAGGGCAGGATCAGGCAAGAGGCCCAGTTCTCGGAGGGGGTCAAGAGACTTTGCTTCTCCTTCCCGTTCTGCTGCTGGGCACTGACTCCCTCTGCTCTTTCTCCCCTCAGTGCTGAAGCCTTTCCTGGACAGACAGACTGCCCTCAAACCTTGTACCAGCATCAAGGTATGTGTTCCTCTTCGCCTCCTTTTACAGCCGTCCCTGCTTTCTGTTTAAGTCTTTGCTCAGGGTGTGTAGATCAGTGACAGGGTGGCGAGCGGGGAGGAGGCTTTATGGTCCAGCCCTTGATCTCAGTATCATAAGGGCCATGCAGTCTGCCCCGTGATACACCAACTGGGTGCAGCTTGCGGGCTCCGGTGAACCTGGGGTGCCAACCTTGGCTGGGCAGCAGTTGGGAAGCATGAAGGAGCCAGGCAGCAGCTTATCACAGGGTGGACACAGGGCTTGTGGCACATCCCTGGAAAGCCACAGAGCATTATGAGAGGCTGGGTTTGTGCACTGGGCTCTGTGGTTGTGATGGAGTCAGTACTTAGTGGGTTCACTCCAGCTGGACTAAGTAAGGCGCCTCACTATTGCCTGCCACACAGCAAGGGTTCTTCTGGCTAGGCAAGAAGGTTTGCAAGTCACAGCGGGCGTCGGATTTTGGGGGCTGGAGTTTGTAAGCCCCAAGCATTTGTTAATTCACCCTCGGATGTTTATAGTCCCAGACCTGCTATTGGTTTTCCTTTCCTTCCTCTGAGCTCTGGCAGTTTGTCAAGACCATCTCTAAGGGTCTTCCAGCGTGACCAATGCCAGGTGTATGGGCACCAGCCTACCCCTTCCTGCAGGCCCAGCCGCTGGGTGGTGCAGTATGTATCGAGTGGGGAACGTGTGCCTCTCCTGTCCCTCCCCAAGGTTCGTCAGGCCTCTTGCTTTCTCAGAGTGATCCTCCAGCTCTTCTGAGTGGTTCTGCAGGGCGACTTCTGAGGTTCATCCTAGCAAGGTCAGATGCCAGATCCCCCTTGAACCAAGCCAACTCTTTATTGATTTTGAAGGCGTCTTCCATATCTATCACACCCTTCTCTTTCTGCAAATACATGTAGAGCTTATGCCTCTCCTCACCTCCATTTAGAAAGCTATCCTTGTGTCCCTTTATATTTCAAAACCTGGATGCCCTCTTGCCATAGACTCCCCTCAGTCTCCATATCACAGGGAATATTTACAATGCAGCAAATAAAGGTTTGTTCTTGGCCACCCTGAGTTTTGGCACTGCAGATGCGTCTTGGATGCATCTTCAGAAGCAGCTACTGACTCTGGGTGTCCAAGCCTGAGACACTGTACAGGAGCTGAACTTTTTTTCTCCAGAGGAAAAGCTCCTGTAGACTTTACCTTAGCACGGCAAATGCTTAACTCTTCTGGAAGATCAGATGCAATGTATCTAGCTGCAAGCATCCAGCTATGGACTCAGTGGTCTGTGTTGAAAACCTCACACATACTGATGCCTGGAAGCAGCAATGGCACTCGGGACTTGAGCAGTGCAGGCCTCGGGCTGAGTCATTCCCAGTCAGTAGCGAGCTTGTGAGAGCAGGTTGCATGTGGGGACGAAGCACACCTTCAACACAAGCCCAGGCTCTAAGCTCTTTGAATATGTAAATCTATTGCAGCACACCCGTGTAATGAAAGCTTGGGACATATACAGTAGGAAGAAAAGGGTCTCTGTCCTTCCGATGCATGGAGGGGATTAGAGCCCATGTGATTATTGCAAGTCTCGTAGCAGAGGAAGGATTTACTGGATGTAGGACATGGAGAGAAAAGAATTATTGTCCATGTGACCCCCGCACCCCCTCCCCAGAGGTGACATTTGAAAACATTGGCCCTTTGCTAATTGTGTAATTGGTTTTCTGTGCATTTGACAAGGAGTTTAAGGGACTGCTGCTCTGTGTCACAATACGAGGCAAGTACCTTGGGATTGAATGCCTTGACTTCCTAAAAACTGCTGCAGTATTTGAGCAATATTTACTGCCTGTTTCCCAATCTTTCTCCTGTACAATTACTGTCTCCTGTGTGCTGTGATTCCTCCGTTCATGTGAGCAGGCAGCTATGAACTCGTGGTCTCTAGGGAATTGAAGGCCGGGTTCAAACCAGGCAGGTGCTAGCTATAGTGATGGTGGGCCTGCTTCTGAACTCTGCGATGCAAGTAGAAGTCAAGTGGGGCCCCACTGAAGTCGCAGGGCTTTTGAACCAGCCTGCAAAAGAAGAATTGAGCGTTGCGACGTGTTGGCCTACATCCAGAGCAGCTGTGCTGAAGTTACCCTGCATTGACACCAGTGTCACGGAGAGCAGAAACTAGGTCAAACTCAGCCTACCCCTATGACGAACGTGAGCTTGGCCCCTTCGTGGGTGGATTTGACTGGGTTCCCCTGGGAAATGCAAGCAGTGGACCACAGCCCACCTGTTTTGTTGCCTCTGCACTGAAACGCTAGCAGCAGATCTTCCCTGTGTGTCGTAAATGTGGGGGATGCTTGGACACAATGGGAAGGTGGTACTCACCGCAGGCTGCATACCCCATAGCAGTACGTACTGCCCTACAATAGTGCACAGTGCAGCCTCCCAACCACGTAGGCTAACTTCACCATCACTTAGCCAGGAAAGCATCTGTTGGTGCGTAATTAAACCCCTGGTCTGAATCCAGAGGCACTCATGGAAATGACTGGAGGTGGGGAGGGCAGAGCTGGGCGCACATCTCTTTTCTGAGGGCCTTGCCTGCACTGAGCAGCAGGCTTGCACCATGCAGCCAGGGGTTCCCTTGCTGTCTTGGGGGCTCTCTTTGTAGGCAAGAGGTGACAGAATCAGGTCCTTTCCCTCAGCTCCCACCTCCTGAGGCAGACATGGGTATTGCTTGGTCTGGGAGTTCGAGGACCCAACCACGCGTGTCCCAAGGCACTGCTGCAGCGTGCTCAAGGGCCTTGCAAAGCGGTGACAACCACTGACTAACTTTAACTTCTGCTGAACTTCCTGCAGAGAAGCCCGCAGGTGCTCAGTGCCTGTGTCATGGGCCAGCCCTTCCTGAGGCAGCTGATGGAAAACACTTCCCACTGATATAGTTAAGGTCAGTTAATACCTGGCCAAACATGTGGCATCTCCTGGAGGCCAATATTGCTGAGTGCTACTGAGCTGGAAGAGGCAGCAATTCCATATGCCCCAAGTCCCTCAACCCTGAATGCCCATCCAAGGGCCTTGGGGAGGGACTTTAATAGATGGGTGGGACAGTGATGAAGACACTGGCTTGGGACCCAGGAGGTCAACTCTGCCACAAGTTCCCAGTGCGCCCATGAGCAGATCTCTTAAGCTGTCCGTGCCTCACATCCGGCTCTGCTGTGGGGACGACAACGCTGCTTCATGGGTGTTTTTGCACAGCTACGCCTCTTGAGATGCGCAGTTGTGACGGCAAAGCATTTTGGGAAGGTATAAGAGAGCACAGCCGGTGATGGCATTGGGTTGAAAGCCACCCAGAAAGGAGAAGCCTTGCTAATGTGTGCGCAGAATGCCTTCCTCCTCCGAGAGGAGCTCAGCACCTAATTGGCAGGTAATTATATCCTTTCCTGCCTTTCATCCTCCGCCCATCCCCTTTCTTTCTTCTGAGAGAGAAAAAAATTCGGCCCCCGTCTCCCAGCACCGCACTTTATTTTAATGTAACCTAGCTCTGAGGCAGCTTTTTCTCATTTTTAAACTATTTCATATCAATCCTTGGCCTGACATTTGTTTTCTTTGAATTTGGTTGGGAAAATGGTCTACATTTCTAAGGATATCTTCTTTGGAATCTTGGCAGAGGCTGCACCGTATCTTTGAGGAAACTGCAAATGCAAAACAGAAGGGCGATATTAGAGATGCATAAACACGATTTTCCCCCTTGCGAACCCTAGACAGGAGAGCGGCATGCTTCAGTCTGGGAAGAGGAAGAGAATCAGGCCACCAATTGGCAACGAGCAGTTGGGTCTGGAGGTCAGCAGTGGAGTAGGAGGAACAGCCAGAAGAGATGTTCTCATAGGCAGGTGGGCAAGGCCCCTTCCACGGTCCCCTCCCCCAAACTGGGGGGCATTGCAGAGAGTTCAAGTTTCCTCTGCCGGAGCTGGCTGCAAGTGATTTTTCCCATTTCATTTATTCTGCAGACACTTGTCAGGTGCCTGTTAAGGAGAGGAACCTCAGCTCCCTGGTATACGAGAGGTTTACAGACGTTTAGGGACCTCGTAAGATCATCCGTCAGTACTTGGTGGGTCCGCTCTGCCCCACTCTGCTCTGGGCAGGAAAGACTGCTGGGCTCAAATAACCCCAGCAAGGTGTGCGTCCAAGATGTGCCAGCCTTTTACAACCCCACCCCCCAAAAAACAAAAAAAACCTGGAGTAAGGCATCTGTTTGGGCTGGCGGTGGGGGGAGCTCATGGGTTTCAGATGCCAAGTCCATTGTACCACAACACATTTCATATGGGATTTATTTTCCTAACAACTGTACCTTCCCAGTGCATAAGAAGGAGCTCATGAATATATTTATGTGCTTAGAGCTGGCCATCATTGAAAGAGAGCGATTTAGACTTAAAGAATAATAACAAAAATCTTTTTTTTTTTTCCCCTCCCTTAGCTTTGAAATGTTTTCTTTGTCTGCATTAGACACATTGCTATAGGACTGTGCACACAACCGTCAAAAAAGATTATATAGGCCAGCCTCACTTGTTTCCCTTGTAACTTGCTGCCTGGTGTCTGGTAGCAATTAGAGTGTCTGAGATGCGAAGAACCGGAGAGGGGGAAAACGCGGCAGTAGGGCGGCGGTGGGGTTCGGCGCGCACGTAAGGAAATGCGGGGGGGTGCCATGGTACAGGCAGGGCATCATGTCGATTCACAGCTGATTTCCAAGCATGCCACCACTCTGTTGTGGGGTGGGCTGGGCACGGACCTTTCTAGTCTGCGTGTCTATGTGATGCCCAATACCGCGGAAGAGGTAAGATGTCAGGGTGGTGGCTCCCACCATCACTGCTGCCTGGGGCTGGGTCTCTGGAGCCTTTTAATTGGGACAGTTCTTCATAAGAGCCCGAGCAGATGCCAGCCGCAGAGATGAGCTGGGAGAGGGTTATCCTGAACTCATTTTGTGCTAGCTGCAGGGGTTTGAGTGGCTTCATGGTCCTTGCTACTTT